ATGTGGTAAATAAATGGTTTTCTAAACAGATGATGGTTGTTTGTGATTTTTTTTTTTTTTTTTTAAATCAAGATGGTAAGTACAGTTCTTTGAGCAAATAAAGCAGTTTTGTTTCTGGTGATTTGTGCAGTGAAGAGCAGAGGCACAAAACCATTGCAGAATAATCTTGTTTTATTTTACAAGGTACGCTTTCTAGAAAACAGTAAAGTGCGTAATCTTCAGTTTCATTTGTATGTCTCGGTTTTGAGAGCTGATGTAGCTTTACTGCGGAAGGGATTCTGGGAGTGAGAACCAGCAGACTATATTCAGATCGCATGGTAAGGATTGTGAGAGCACATCCATGTTTTAATACAGAAACTCACATTTAATATACCAACCCAGTAGCTTCCATAGTTTGCCTGTAAAAATGTGTGCGTAACTACAATGTCATAGGCACGTCCCATTCAGAAAATATGGACTGTGAAATCAACAACTGATTGACAGACAAAAATATGATTACAATTCACAGCCTTGATATGTTTCAAGGTCAAGTAGCTTTTGAATTGTTCATTAACACATGACAGTTTCTCAGAAACATCAAACCAAACAGTGGTTTCTTTTCAAATAAAAATTCAGTTTAAGATTAGTGCATGTGAAAGAAGGCCTGTAACTCACAACGTTGATGTGATGAAAGTGAAGCCAAATTAATTTCCAGTAATGCTAAGAATATGCAGATGTAAATGTGAACGAAATACATGCTTATTTCTTAAATACAAAGGATGAATAAATGGTCCGATCTAGACTGAGAGCCTTTTTGTGCTATGTAAAATCATGCATTTCCACTATAAATTATTTTTAAATAATAAAATTATAATTACAGTTTTTAAAGAACATCTACATGTGTCCCTGCTCCAGCGGGCCTATAGAGTGTGATCGTGCTGCCCACAGTACAAAACCACCTCCTCACACCCATCCCATCAGTCAACTGTCTACGAATAAAAGATCCATTACAGAAACTATAACACAGATTTGATCTACAACCACTAAATTGATACACTAAATACTGAATCTATTACCATGATTAGAGAGCTGATCAATCACAGACTGTCCATCTCGGATAATGCTAAGGAATAAGTTTGCTGAGCTACTGCCACCAAAACCACAATTTAGTTCATGTTTGATTCGAATGTGCTTTTAAACGAGAAAAAGTGAAACAGCTTATGGGGAGTGAACATTATTCACATTATATAGACTGCTGTTGTTTCGTTTTGGGAACGAATACGAGGTACAGCAGACTTTTGAATCTTTTAAAAGATTCATATCTGAGGCACTGCAAACCAGACGGTGGCGTTGAAGCTCACTTGATTACATGTTAGATCTGCATCCTTGTTTTAGGTTGGTTAATATTGTCCTAGGAGGGTTGCAATGGTATGATAATAGTGTCACGGCTTTGTGGTATAAGTTACTGTATTCCATATTTGATTTTGTATTTAAATCAAATTTATTTTAGCTGCACGTCAGTTTTTCTTTAATGTAAAAACTAATGCTGTAAACTAAACGTGAAAAACCCTCTCAATTGAAACATTACTCATATTAAATAGTTAGAGACCAAACAATTTAGTAAACAAAACAGATTTTCCTAAAAACATTCAAATTGCACATACGGTAGTTTCCATAAAAATGCCATACATATATAAATCATTATTAACAGGTTAAAGACTTTCTTGCTAATGCTCAAACTTTCCTGAGGTAAATATGTCACGTGTTATTCACAAGCAGTTTCATGGACTTCTTTTCGTGGTTAAAACACTGATTGGGCGATTAAATGAGCTAACATTTCAACAAGTTGTTCTAAATCTTTCAACATACCTTCTGATGTTCATTCACGTTTATTTCGTGGTAATGTGTTAGTAAAGGTAAGATGATTGGTGCCTGCCTGCTCCACTACCGCTTTGTCTGCACGCAGATAGAATCGGTCACACATT